CTTCCACCCGAGAGGTTGTGAGTTCGAGTCTCCCCAAGAGCAAGGTGGGAAGTTCTTGGAGGGAAGGATGCCGAGGGTCTATTTGGAAACAGCCTCTCTACCCCAAGGTAGGGGTAAGGTCTGCGTACACACTACCCTCCCCAGACCCCACTAAGTGGGATTATACTGGGTTGTTGTTGTTGTTGTTGTTGTATATTAAGAACCACTTCCACACCCAGTTGAAGTCCTGCATTTCACTCAACCTTAGGTGGATCTATGCTTCCTATTCTCGCTTGTTTATTTAAGAAACAACATAATCCTGATTTGGTATGACACCTAAAATCTAGCTCAACGGATTAAATAGAACAAAAAATCAAGGTTATATCTATTAAATACTCGTGTATTTAGGGAACAAAGAGAAACCAAATATTTCAAGCGCCACTACATAAAGCATGGTCTGTACTCTGTACGATGATGGAGATAGAAAGAAAAAGTGAAGCACAATTTTTAAGCAATCCACAGGAATGCATCTACATCAGTACAAATTCAAGTGAAATTTGAGAGAGACATACAACAGTCTTATGTTGGAATATAATTTCAATATCATGCAGCAGTATAAGGATTCTATTAGGGCGGATCTAGGATTTTAATTTTATAGGTTCAACATTTAAAGTTTTTAGCATTGAACCATTATATCTTAAACGGAAAAGGGTTCAAAATGCCCCTAAACTATTGAAAAAGGTTTAAAAATACCCTTCATCCACCTATTGGGCTAAAAATACCCCTCCATCCACTTTTTTGGTTCACTTATGCCCTTTGACCGTTAGGTCAATGCTAAATTAAAAATAATTATTATTCTTTTTCTAAAATTTTAAAAAATATTTTACAAAATATTTTCGTTTTTTTAAACTATTGCACCAGTAGTCCACTAATTTAGTAAAGTCTTCTTCTTCTTCTTTTTTCAGTTTTTACAAAATATATTTTTTTTTTCATTTTTTCAGTTCTTTTAAAGCATTTCTTTGTAAAAACAGAAAAAAAAAATTTATTAAAATATTTTCGTTTTTAAAAACTAGAAAAATACTTTCAACAAAATATTTTTGTTTTTGAAAAATATTCTTTTTTCAGTTTTTTTAAAAAACAAAAATAATTTATTCTTTAAAAAACTGAAAAACGAAAATAAAACTAAATACTTTACATATAAATTTATCTTTCGCGTCAAAAGTACTAGGTTCAACTTGTGTATGCTGCATCTGACCCTTATTAGCTAATCTTAAATTTCCTCAGCATGCATAGATTGCACAAAATAGAACAGTATCACAACAGGTAAGCATAATACCAAACCAATAGCTGTAGAAAAAGTCACACTTAACAACTATCAACTAAAAAGAAACAATACTGCACTTGCAGCATATAGGAACTTGATGATTTTTGGCATCTAGATACAATAAGAAAATAAAATCAACATCATTCACCGTGATGATTTGCCTAAAACATGACAGAGTGAATGTTACAGACTGTACACCTATTACAACTTTCAAAGCCCTTGTTATAGAACACCTGCACATAGCTGATTTTTTTCTGAAAACGAAAAATATTAAACTTTTCAGTTCTTGAGATATCACAAGGCTAATCTTGTTGCTAGATACTTTTCTTAGAACATTAGCTGCCTTCGATGCAATCTAAACTTCGAGCTTGGTAGCATGTACTAACGTGGAACATATATTCGGTGACTATTCTATAAACAGAAGAAATAAAATATGGGTGTCCTATATTGTAACCCGCTTGGGAACAAAATAGACCTTTTAATGTAATTAAGGTATACCATTTCATTTCTTCACCATAATTTCTTCCACTCTATCATCATATCATAAAAGATCATTCACATAAGAAATCACAATATGGCACAACAAAACAAAGGCAACTTATTGTTTAGACAAATGAATAGGATGTCATAATTACGGACAAACCAGAATTTCCATTTCTAAGGAGAGGGTTTTAAGTTATGACGACCTAACTTGTCTGTCATTCACAATGATCTAAAGCAAGAAAGGTTTTTTTCATTAACCACCACAATTTTCCATGTTCACATTCATGGGTAATAAGTATGGGAAAGTTAACCTTAGATATGCCTTCTGAGATATAGACATATAGTATATGATTGCATGTTAAGCCACCAAAACTGGACATCCCCCTGAATTATCGGCAAAAAATTCCCCTTGTGTCCTTGAGTTTAAAAGCTGGACGTACAGTCCTCTTATTCTTCTTCAGCACTCTCTTTCCACCTCTTAAGCCTGACGCTTGTGATCTCCATTTACTCTAACTGAGGGCTTGCGTTTTTTCTCCGTCAAAATCGAGAAGGTAGAGTTCGAGATTACCGAGGACAGTTAGAGTACCTATGGAAGTACCTCTAAGATCATAATCGCAGCCACACTACAACAATAAGAGAGTAGTTTAGAGTTCTAAGGCATTTAAAAAAAAGAAGAATATATTGGGGTCAATTATATAGAATGTTATCGCCTTATAATCTAATTGCGTAAAATCATCAAACTAATTTTTCTAACTAAGAAAACATCAACATCCAATACTCCACCAATTTTCAACATCATAAATCCTATAGATAAAACTCAATTTTCTTTATAAAGCAAACACAGATGGGAAGTAGTTGATCAATTTACCAGCTATCATACTTTTTTTGATAAGGAGCTTATTAACTTAATAAACCCCTTACCACTCAGCCTTCTCAGGTTCCATACGAACTACTCCGGCAAAGCCCTCAAGTGCTACCTCCTGCTCTGTTTCAACCAAGCATATGAATGACATAATAACGAATCATCCAAGATAAGTAGCTCAAGATGCATAAATATTGCACAAAGCAATCTCAACGTCATTACATGTGATATATCATGGCGTATTTTTATTTTTCGACCAAGGAGTAATTTTCAGGGACTCGGGAAGCCTCTATTTTTCAACCAAGGAGTAACTTGCGTAACAACAAATCTAACTTACCTGTAGTTTACCAATAGTAAATTCCAGAGAAGTGAAAACTTTATGTCACACTATTTGTGTTGCTAATTGATGGTAAGTAGAGCTGCCATTACTTAGCTATGTTGTTAGTTTCTTCAAACGTATAAAGTATTGCTTGGCTTTTTCTTCATTTTGCCTCCCTGTTGTACATATTATCATCTCTTTTAACAGTAGCTTCCAAAATCATAACCACAACAAAGTATGTAATTACTCCAATACATAGCCAAAGCTGCAGGCAAAATACAACAATCACGTTTGGATTATTTCTTTTAGGAGTTCCCTTTTCCTTTGCATTAAAGAAAATGAACTTTGAAAGATACCTGTATCATGCATCTTCTATGCATTCTCTAACAGCTCCTTAAATTTTTCATCTCATTCACAAGAATTCGAGGACAAAAAGGTTACACCTCCATTAACTATGGTTTCATTCACAGCAGATTAGAGGGCTTCTCATATATAAAGGAAATTATCATAAAGATTTTCTCAGATCGACACAAAATTTGAAACTTTAAAATTGAAATAAAAATGCATTCTAATTCTTTCTATCCCAGAACCTAAAAGAAACAGCAAAATAAATGCTAAATAGAGATTATGAAGCATTAATTTTTTTCTTTTTAAATATTCTAATAATCAGCTCCAAACAACTCCTTGGCAAAGCTCCAGCCAAAAAAAAAAAGCTGAAAATAATGGATAGAATCCTAATACAAACGATACTTCAAATTAATATGTGGGTGTTGATAAATTATTTTCTGGCTTTTACACTTCCACTCAGTGAAATGCAAACTGCAAATTGAGTGGTATCACTATCACCTGCTCTCGTTACTCCAAGTGCTTTTCTAATGGCAGATATCATTAAGAATAAAATTGTGTGACTGACTACACTCTAAGTCCCTATAGCGAAAACAAGAATAAATCTAAATCCTTCAATTGGATAATGACCTCGTGGACTGTAGCCGTTGCCAGTCCTAAAAAACTGAACATATTTTTTTAAATTGTAATTATAATCATCAAACATGAAAAATAGCATAAAAGATTTAAGAAAAGAATTAAAGATGCAGCCTAAAAAAGTTCCTAATTTCAATTCCAAACCTAATAAGGAAGAGAGTATATCCAGGGAGGTAAGGGACATAGACTTAAATGTTAGATTCATCGGAGAGGGAAAGCTTCAGGCTGAAGAAGAGCGAAACGACGGAGAGCCTTCGTCGTGAATGTGGGGGGTCCACTGTCGTGCCGCCTTTTCATGTCTCATGTTGCCCTTGTTTTGCTGTTATTTATGCCAAAGTCGGGAAATATTTAAGCCATGAAACTATCAGAAGGGGTATAATAGACATTCGAAAATCATGGTAGAAGGATCACACATGAAATTACCAAAGTACCCCTCCGAGGACGACGAAGAGCTGCTGAACTCCCGCTTCTAAATATGTAGAAAATAAGGGCTTTGAACATATAATATAGTAACTGTAAATCTACATATATGGCTTGAGTAATACTGTAGTTTAAATTTATCGATGTAACACATTAAATGAGAATGACACGGGCAAAATAGAAAGTCTTTATTCAAAGTTGGGGAAATGTTTAATTTTAAAGCAAAGTTGAAGGGGAAAAATAATTTTTTAGAAGAATGGTCCTTAGCACGAATACACATCCCTTTTAGTTAACTAGATAAACAACAAACATTAAGAATGATTACATCTCTAAGTGCAATTACATATTTGAGATGATGCTCTATATTCCATGTCAGAATTGGAGAAATTAAAAAAAAAACATTTCGTATATTATTAAGCTTAAGGCTTACAACAGTCTGTTTTAGGAGGCAAACCCATGCAACGAATTTGCTTTCTTAAGAAAATCAAAGTCGTTGTTTCTTCTACCAATGTTACAAATGTATAGTTTTACAGACGCGAATTTAGGATTTGAACATCATGAATGGCAACGGAACTTACTAACCACTTGAGTTGGGTGTATATGAAATTTAGTATTTGTATATATTTAGTAGATTTCTCAACACACGTACGAAATGTTATACTGTCTTCAAAGAAGCTGAAAAAATTTACTTGTCACACAAATATCTTCTAAAACTTCAAAAGAAACCAAAAACAAATAAACACAACACAAGAATATAAGTTCCCACCATCAGCCAAATTCAGCTTCACCATAAGTTTACCAGTCTAATATATCAGCAATCTATACCGCACACAGCTGACTAACGATCAGCTTGGGCACGTTTATGCATCCACTCATAGCTGAAGTATCAGTGTCTCGATAGCCTCCTAACCCTGCAATATTAGCTCATGTAAGTCCCCTACTATATCAAAAATGAAGCAGCCAGACACTTATTAAACCTTACCGAGGAGAACGAGACCGGGAAATGGAACGAGAAAGCGAGTGTGAACTAGAGTAAGAGCGCGACGGTGAATGTGAGCGTGAGTGAGAGCGAGTCCGCGACCGTGAGCGGTATCTACGAGAACTCCTTTCTCGGATAGGACTCCGGCTAAGTCGGTGCCTTCACCCATAGTACATAATTCAGACATGAACAGTGAAAGATAATAATTTGCGGAGCAAAATCGTGAGAAAGTTAACCAAGTTAACCAATTTGCAGAGCAATATTGTGGCATTGACAGTTAACATGAGCTAAAAGAACATCTAACACTTGCCAAATTCATCCACGCCATTTTATAATTTCTACCACTGACGCCCAAGCGTCCAAGGTTGAATAAATTCTCTAAAATTTCTTCAATGAATCACATCTTTTTTATTCTTATTGTAACTTTCTTTTGACAAGTTATGCTCTTTTTTCTGTTTAACAAAAACAAACTCTTTTCTCCCACTTCCTTGACAATTCCTCTCTTTTCCAGTTTACATAACATAATAGTTTTTGGGGAAAGATACTAAGAATTATTTTCTAACATTTTAAATACTTCTAATTATAAAAACTTCATTCACTTTTATGTAGTTTTTAACTAAGAAAATTTTGTTCCAAACAAATAAGGATCTGACAGCCATTTCACACTAAGGGGTCATTTGGTAGGATGCATTAGATAAAATAATGCATGCATTAGCTTTGTGTATTAATAATACCTTGTTTGGTAGATATTTTGAACCTATGCATTAATTATGCAAGCATTAGTTATACATTCTATTTGGTATTATCCTATGCATAACTAATGCATAGAAACCATGGTATTAGCAATGCAATGATTTTTAATGCATGCATTAGCTTAGTTAAAGACAAAATTGTCCTTCAAAATTTATGCTTGATTAAAATGTGCTAGTTATTATATTAATGCAAGTTTAAAATAATCCAAATAGTGAGAAATAAAATTATATCTCTAGTAAATAAATAAATACTTAGCATATTTCTTTTTTTATAAATAAATATTTAGTTCTATATTACAATATAGGTAGACAAATCAAATAATTTTCTTTTAAACTTTTTCATATAAAAACATTTCTCAACATATGTTTCTTTTAAAAAGTTAGAGTGATGGAATGGTTTTGAGGATATTTTCGTAAACAAGCAATTCTTTTAGAAATTGCGCAATGCTTTTATACATCAAACCAAACAATGGATAAGAAATATGTCAGCATAACTAATACCAGCATAACTAATGCAAGCATAACTAATACCAGTATTACTAATACACCATATTCAGCATTATTCTTATGCACCCTACCAAACGACCCCTAAAGCTAGATATTTTGATCCTTGTACTCTGAACCAACAATTCCTTTTACGATTAAGAAAGTATCAAATATGTATATCTCAATTGGATTGCAAGAAATTCATGAAAATGCTGAATATTACAAGTTCTTCTGGAGATCTCCAAAAAATAAAACAAGTGACTGATTAGATAGTTAGATCTCCCTCTTAACTATAGGAATTCCTAATATTCAGCAGTCTAATAGGACCAAGTTTCTCTACTTTTAATTTTCTTTTGCCTTTGTTATGAGCTTTAATGTGAAATCTATGTCAGACAACAGCAAATGCATTTTTAAAAAACATACAAGCACCCAAGGGTGTGGCCTATTGGTCAATGAAGTGGGTTTAGAACCATGAGGTCTTAGATTCAATTCCCAATGGAGAAAAAACGCTAGGTAATTTCTTCTCATCTGTCCAAGCCTTAGTGGAAAGAGTTATCTGGTATCTGTTGCTGGAGGTAGCAAGTATCCCGTGGAATTAGTCGAGGTGCGCACAAGTTGGCCCGGACACCACGGTAATCGGGGGAAAGAACACAAACAAACAGATTCAAGCAAGCAAATTCCAACTCCCTTTTCCTCGAAAAGAAAAAAAAATGAATCCCACTTCCTTGACTTCACAAAATCAAGGACCAGTTTTTCAATTGCATTACTCCTAGTCAAATTAGTGAGGTCCATTTAAAGTTAAATGTACCCAAAAGACAGAAAAACTCAACCCCCATTTCACAAATCCATCAAGAACAAACTTGAGGAGGTATTTGTTTTGAATTTCGTCATTAGTTGAGAAGGTTAGGGCTATTGAATCTCTGATATTGAAGGAAAAAGAGCAGCCTTGGGCTCGTACTCTTTGAATTTTCAGGAATTAAGGCAACAATAGACATATTTTGAATAAGGTTTCACCTAAAGCCATAATGATGAGGGATGGAGACGAGGGCCGAAGAGAGCTGGGTATACATACTTGCTGAAAACACAAATAAGAGGACCAATAACTGAAAGAAGCTTTGCTTTGACCATTAATTTACCTCGTTTTAACCCGCATTACCAATTACTTGAAAGGTCTGGGCACAACCTATTTTGATTCATCTAGTCTTAGACACTTCCCCAAACCACTGACTTGGTAGACATGCGGGTTTCGAAATCACACAAGTTTGCTATGTGAATAGGCGAACTAACTTTGTAGACAGGAATTATGGCCTCTAGCTCCACCAGCATGCATCTCATAGACAGGCATCGCTCAGTTAATCACTAAATTCACAAATACATTTAAATAAAGAACCAACTACATAAAGTAAAAAAGGTAAAGGAACTTTACGGAACACCAGATCATAAACTTAGGCAAGACAATACTCACTTTTGACAAATTCAACTATCTATGCATCAAGTACACTACAACAAGTAGGATCAGTATTAGTACCTTCGAGGGGAACGGCTGTAACTTCTACTACGGCTTCGGCGACGATACCGACTTACTCGGCTTGTTTCTGCAAGCTTTTCAAGCCTCTGTTTCTCTTGTTCTCTTTTCTTGGCCATCTCAACAGCTGTATCTTTCTTGACTGCAAAAGACATCATTTAGGCAAAATGTACAACGCATTGCATGCAACAATATGACCCACATAATCATACAAAAAGAAGAGTTTCCATAAAAACAAATTAACAGAGATGAGATCCTCATTCTTGTTATATCGCAGAATGCAGCACATTATAGAAGACAAATGGTTTACTCCGGAGATGCACATGAAGTAATGTATACTTTGTTTGTTCAATTGTTTGCTCATTATCCGCTTAAGTCGCTCCTGAGGTGTTTCCTTCTTTTCACCCTGCTGTTTAGAGAGGCTTGAACTGCTAGTTGTCTTGTTTAACTTTGATAATGCTGAGGATGCACTGCAAAGACCCAAAGAAGAGGAAAAAATAATAACTAGCTTTTTGTTTGTTCAATTGTTTGCTCATTATCCGCTTAAGTCGCTCCTGAGGTGTTTCCTTCTTTTCACCCTGCTGTTTAGAGAGGCTTGAACTGCTAGTTGTCTTGTTTAACTTTGATAATGCTGAGGATGCACTGCAAAGACCCAAAGAAGAGGAAAAAATAATAACTAGCTTTTTGTTTTTTAAGGAGAGAACAAATTGAGAATTTGATATTGCGCATCAACAAAGAGCACAAAAACATGTAGGGTCAGGAAGGACAAGCAGACAAATGAACAGAAAAACGTAAGGGTGTAGGAGACAGACCTTGCTGGTGTTTTCAACATTTGTGCACTCTTATCCTTATCAAGAGATACCCCAGATGCAGGATCAACATGAAGGGCCTCAAGAATACGACCAGCTGATGGCCTGCAGAAGAAGTGAGATATTAAACAAGAAATGTTTTACGTTAACAAGGAAAACTGGACAGCGTCAAGTAAGTTCAATTCAGGGAAAATGAGCTTCAGATCGGAAGCTTGCTCCCTCTTCCCCTTCACAGTTATCTCACAGGTGTAAATGTGATATATTCAAAACCACATTATGTTCTTCAGCTAACAAATGGATGATAAGCTGCAGCAGAGAAAAGACTGTCCAATCTAGCTTTGCAAGAATTAAAGGTCAAGTGCTCCGACCGGTTTAATGGATCAGTTCGAGACGGAGGAGACGGTGGTGGAGAATATCCTTCAAATTTAGGCTCATTCTCATCGTCTGCGCCACCAAATTCAGTGATATACTCTATTTTCGGAGCTCTCTCCTTGCCTTGGTAAATATCATCAGATTTTCCTCCACGTTCATAGCGTCTTGAATGAGGAGGCGAGTATGAGAGAGACCTTGACCTGGACCTGTGCAGATGGAATAAAAAAAAAAAGATTAAACCAACATTACACAGACTACTATCAATTTGAGAATGTATAATAAAATAACAAAGATAACAAACCTTCTGGAACGTGAATAAGCTTCGTATGTTGGACTCCGTCGAGACTCGCTACATAAAGGAGAGGAGAAAAGAGAGCGAGTGAGAACAATCCGTACAACTGGGATTTTAATCTGCATTTTAGGTTTTAAGTATACAAAAATGCAATAGATTGAACTAAAGTACCGATAGGGATCATGATGGAGAACTCTGCTCCCGGTAATGCGGGCTGCTTCTCTTTCCCTCTCCCTTTCTAATTGAGAAGCTTTCCGTCTTTCTTTGCGACTCAGCTTCCTCTGCAAAGGCATGATTAGTATGACAGTACATATACAATTTAGCAACAGTTAAAGTCCCATATTGTAGCAGACTTACTATTGCAGGATCTCCCTTGATTACTTCTCTTTGCCTCCTTTCTTCCTCCTTAGCCTTTTTGTCCATGTAGACAAGCCATCCATACCTTTTCACTCCATAATCTTTGGCAATTGACTCCATCACTTCGTCGTTGCTATCATCACTGTTAAAATCTTCCTCCTCATCATCATCCTCATCATCATCACCATCTTCTTCACCATCAGAAAAGTGAGGATTGTCTTTACCCTCTCCGTCATATGAGAAAGCCACTTGGGAATACGACCCCTTGCTCGCCGAAGGCAGAGAATTTTGAGGTCTGCAATACCGAGAATATTAGAAGGTAAAAACTGCCTTGCAGTTAGAGTAATTAATGTTAACACCCCATTTGAAAAGTGTAGTATCACAGAACACCAAGTAAACCCACAAACAAAACAAGTTTTCATTAATTGAAACACTCACTTGCAGCTGAAGCAAATCAAGACACTAAAGATTAATTAGAACAATATCTCTAGAGTTAACATCAGTAAGCATCAAAATGTAAATACCCATCTACAGAAGTATATTTTTGGCTTTCACATCACAAATCTGATAAAAGGTGAAAAGAATAATATAGTTAACAGTTGTGAGAAAAAAAATCACAAATTACGATAAACAAAAAAATACACAAAAGTGATGAATATAACACATTTAGGTGGTAGAAAATAAAAACCACACAAATGTTCTCTCTACTTATGAGTTATGACATAGAGTGATTTCTTTACTAGGAATATTAATAATGGACAAAGCAAGAGGAGTCAATTCTTCAATCTTTTTGATAAGCTAAATCAAAAAAAGGGCAGCCCGGTGCAGGAAGCATCCCGCAGGGTCCGGGAAGGGCCGCACCCCAAGGGTATGAAGTAGGCAGCCTACCCTGATCCAAGCATCAATGGCTGATTCTACAGCTCGAACTAGTGACCTATAGGTCACACGAAGACAACTTTACTGTTGCTCCAAGGCTCCGCTTCTTTTTGATAAGCTAAATATGACCTCATATACAAGCACAAAAGAACCTCATGGGTGAACCGAAACAAGACACAAGAGGCTACTTTTAAATTTTACAAAATCATTATCAACCCCTTCAAATGCTCTCCTATTTCTCTCTTTCCATATTACCCACATGAAGGCTAATGGAGCAACATCCCATGCCCTCGGTGTTCTCTTCCACCTTCTAACGGCCTACCTATGCAACAGTTCCTTCAAAGAGTGCTTTATTATTTTACCAGTAAAGAGTGATTATCAACTAATTACATATTACTAGTTACTACATCGTCGACCAAAATTTTAAGCAAGTAAAAAGTCAACAACATTCAGAACACTTCACAAAATCTGTAATGTAATGATCAACAAGGCGTGTAAATTTGCAACAAATACTTGAAACCAAACACAATTCACTTTGGGACAATATCACAAAGAATATTTTTCATATAAGAGATCTACTTATATTTTCTTACTCCTCTTTGTTTTTAATCTTTCTCGGAGCAAGGACAGTGGATAAATGGGCAACTAAAAGAAAAGACCCAAAGAGTTTAGTAAGATAGAAAATTGGAACCTGTCAGAGCCAAGGAGAGCAGTGGTCTTAGCCTCCATTTCCTGATTAACATGTTGCAGACCCTCTTCGTCCTTAACTGTAAAAGCATAGAGTTAACTCAGGCGATGCAATGGTCTCCTCAAAAAATATACACAATTACTTCGAAATACCTAATAAGAAAGAAATATCCTATAATGAATAGTATATGAAAGGATAGTCAAAAAACAAAAAAGTACCGACATCCTCTACGCCGATGCTTAATTAAATCCCGATAACGCTGAAAACTAACAAACTCTTCTAGTTCCTCCTCTTCCTCTGTTCTTTCTGGGGCCCGACGATGCCGGGAACTAGAATCTCGTATAAAATCAAGAAGAGCACGACCATCAAATCTGTAAGATGATAGTCAAAACGTCAACTATATGACTAGGCAAATTTCCTACCACATTCAGTATCCCATCATCCTAAGAGTTGTGAAACACTATTTAAAAAGTGACCTGTCAATCAGAATGTCATGTTTCCCGTTCCAAGGTATCCTGATACATAAACAAAGAAATCAGCTCATGTCTATAAGCACTTAAATAAACATGAAACCCTACAAGCATGCAAAGGCTTCTAAGACTATTTGAGGCCAAAAAGAGAATAATAATCAATCACCACGTAAATATTGACTAATTTCAAACTTTCTGATGGCTTTGGATCAGTAAATACTAAATACCAAACATTAGAGTTCATACTAAAATACCTCAGCACAACAACAATACTTTTCAGATGATTTATTCCATAGGTAGACAAAGGAGACCCATAGAAATACAGATATCAAAGGATGTGAGCTTCAAAATAAGATGGTGGTAGCATGAGTCACCTACTTATATTAGACTATTACTTTTTCAACAGGCCTGTACATTTCAGTTCATGGCAACTATGAAACTAAAATGGTAGCTCCAATAAAGCATTACACGTGCACCAAAAGTAAGAAATGCAGTGTGGAATCTAAAAATAATGTATTCACAAATATACTAAATGAATCCTTAAAATATTCAAAATGTAGTTTAGAACCAATATGATAAACAACAAACCAGTACAACGTCGTAACCATGCCAGTACCATACAAATTTCAAATAGCTAGCAGGAAGCACCACGGGGGACGTGACATGGTACCCAATAAGTGAGGAGCAATGTTCAATTTAAGATAGCTCAAATTGGCCAAAAAGTAGTCTCTTTTCCATACATTAATAGGATAACCAATACCTACCGTCTTTTCTACTCCTTGCATTCCAATTTGTAAGACACTTTCCATTCTAAACCATTCGTATTTTACAAACAAATTTCACTATCCACTAATAAGCTAAATCAACACCTTAACATATAGATAAATTAGAGGGATAGAGAAATCATACAGGCCCTGCTGATCCTCGGTGGCTTGATAAAGGGCGTCATCACGGTAAATACGACAGCGAGAGCCGATGGCTTGAATGGACTGCTGAGGGTCGCCACGGCGTTTAGCGAGAAAGATGGCACGTCTCTGAGCTCTCTTACGCGCTGCGTCCATCATATCATGCACTTTCTTCTCCGATCTCCTTGCTTCGTGCCACATCTTTATTCTTCTTCGTCACAATTTGCAGTCGGAATTGGAAACCCTAACGCCCCTTCCCTGACTTTGTTTTCCCTGCGACTTGGCAACGCTATCATATCATTTTTAGGAACCAGTAACCCGAACTTAATATGGACCAATCATGTGACGGTCACGTGCCCCTCTTCTTTTCTTTTTTGGACAGGAATTTAATGAACTTTGTTTTAAAGAATTGAAGTTTTTCAATTAACCTAACCACTTTGGCTTTATACATGCTTGACTTATTTATATTCTGCAAAATTTACATCCAAAATGTTCAAAAATCTAGAGACCTAAAGAAGTTCCTCTCTATGTAAATACAATTACTAATTAGCATAAACATTAGGAAATTACGTAATCATTTTTTATACTATATTCTTTATTATCATATATGGGATATTTGAAACATCTTATAGTTATTAAAATAATGTGTACAGAATATCCTTTCATTAATCTTTACTATTAAAAATCATCTTTGCCGAGTATGAGGGAGTATAAGAACTAATAAGTGCGGCTATGTATCGAAGTTAACGTCCTTTTTATTGATGTTGACGAGAAAATATTGCTATTACTTTGAGATATACCAGAGTTATTTTACGAAGAACTTAATACAATCAATACGAATGTAATGAGTTACAGAAAATCGATTTTTATTTAACAAATAATACGACTTGAGTTCACATCCATGACATTATTCGTGCTAGTTTATAGTAGTAGAATGTAATTTTTGTTCATTTTAGTACTCATATACATGTGTAAGTTAGTTTTTATATATGGCGGTTAAATTGAAAATGCACACCCAATAATTTACATTCTTGAATCCTTCATTAAGTTGCCAGCAAATTAAAGTCATGCATTATGTTTCCAATTTGCTCCGCCTCCCCGTCAGTCGCGTCGGGTTAACTTAAAGTAAAGGTTGATCTATGGTTGAGTTAAAAGATTGATTAGTAGCTGAAGACTGAAGCTACCTCTTTTAACTATCAATTCAGTTTTTCACATTTGAAAGCTCTTGCTCTCAATAGAAAAAAATGTACAACCGATATAAGTTCAGTTGATTAACTTCATATAAAATGACAATAAATCTCGAGTAATTTCTTTAGCCAGCGTGTGTAATCTGCTTAGTAATGATTAATTAAAAAATGTTGTACTCCATAAAATGTTACATTTGCACTAATCTTTAAGTAAACTCTTAAGTAACGACTTTAAGACTGCAAAATATTAACGATTCAAACTATTTAACAATTAATAAGCGGTTGATAGATCATACTATATTATAAGTATGAAGACTTTTACATGAAGTTATTTTACTAAAATATCCTTCAAAAGCTAAACGACCATTCCACCCTTCATTATAACAATATTCCTTAATATTGTTGAATAAAAATATATATTATAAGAAATAACAATGATTAACTTGAGCATATTTATTATACGTACAAACTTTAGATTTTTACTTTTAATGATAATAATATACTACGTTATCTCTCATTCTAATTTATTACCTGTGTGCAAGTTTATCAAGTTGAGTCATTATTCAATTACTATGATTCATAATTATTAGCAAGTCTTTTTCACTGCTCAATATGAATATGCAAATAAAATGCATAATGTATCTGCCATCTAACTGATTAGTGAAGGTAATTAATTATCCACAATTGGCTTTCTACTTCACCATTTAACTTCTTTGTTACACGTTTATATTTACAATTATTATAGCTCTTTTCTAGATTGGTAGATCATTTCACGTTCTTGTTATCTTCTTTCATAGATATTGACTCATTTTATGGAGATCAGCAACCAATTTTACATGAAATAATTTTGATTTAAGTTTTAAAAAGTTTACTGCGTGCTACTCAATGTCTCAACGGAGCATCTCATGGTTATTGGTCAGAGTGAGAAAAACTACTTTGGTGGAAGTAGCATATATTAAGACATTTCTACAGAGATCCAGTTGAATAAAGTACGTGTCAACTGGTATCCTCTTTTTGAGATCTTCGACATCTATTTATAAAATATTTTAAGAATAGTATTCATTAGGAAATTTCTATCTCGATATATTGACGGCCTTATGAACTAAGTAGAATATGCTATTTAAACTTTCTTGTATGATGCTATAAAGTTGGAATATATTACTACCCATAAAAAGTTGGATAATTTTGGGAAGCAATTTTCTTTTCATGTATTGAGTTAGCTAAATAGGATTAAAGTTCATCATTTTCAAGAACTTATAATTTTTTATTTATTTTATAATTTAAATATATTGTCAAATTTAGGTCATCTTTAAAATTTTATTCTCATTGACATGGAATACACGTACAACATGCGTGTCCAAATTCTAGTTAAAAAAAATATGCATGCAGTTAGTGAGCTAAGATCGGAATATTTTAGATTCAGCCCTTCAATATTAAGTGGAAACACATTGTTTACCCTAAAAACGTATAACTATTGAATTTATAATGTGGTTTTACGGACACATGATATAACTTGACACAAAATAATAAGATACATAAAATGATATTGAAATTAACTGAAAATAGAAATTAAAGCAAACCCAAAGAGATGTATAGCTTTGGCCCTCGAGCTTAGATCGCCCTCGAACGGATATTTCACTGGAAAGTATGAACAAAACAATAGAGTATTGAGAGCTTAAGAAGATGATATATTGCTTTATGTAATGTGAATATGATGTCTTTTACAAATAATCAGACCCCCTTTATATAGTAGGGGAATCCTACTCTTGGTATAATTCTAAATATAGTAAGAAATCCCATGATTGGCTAATTAATCGGCCTCTTCTTAATACGTGCCGAGATTTTTGCCATGATCCTCGCCCGATTGCGGATATTTTAATTTTCCGTTATTTGGCTCGGTAAGCTTCCCTCGATCTTGCTCGATCTCTATCCTGCCTGGCTCCGATCTTAGCCGACCTCGATTGGTTTGCAATCTAACTTTACACCGCACTCCGATATAACATAGGGTCGAACCTTGGCCTGCCTCATTTAAGGACAAGCCTGATTTTGACCGTATACAAATAGTCCCCTCTTTTATCGGAGAGAAGGCAATAAGAAACGATCTGATCTTTTCCAATCCCATCTCGATGGGTCATGACATAAGCGACGAACCCGACCATGACGTCAGCGACAAGTGAATACTGAAATGTCATGTCGGTTCGGATATCGAGGCATTAAATGTCTGTCGGTTGTTGTCGGCCACTACTGGTTCTGAATCGTCATCTTCAACCTATAAATGTATCTTTCTTCTTTTGCCCAAACTTTACTTTCAAATCTTCGTTGCTCTAATCTTCAAAATCCTCTGCCTCCCTAAAAGCTTTGAACTTTCAGATCTTTGGTGTTTCTTCACCTCTTTCATCACAAAATATCAAGCGTTTCTTCTCAGTTTCCATTATTCTTCACTCGTAAAAGTAAAATGGCTAAGACTTCAAAAACTATTCTGCAAAAGGAAGCTGCTTCCTCGTCCCGGCTGGCCGGCGAGCAAACAACAGCGGAGCCACGCCGTGAAGAGTTCTTTCCCGGATGGTGCGTCATCAACTCCGACTTCAAGGTTGAAAAGACCCCCGGTTCCGGGTCGATGTGAGCTAATGTCGAGGTATATATGCATGATCACCGATGATCTCCTCGACCAAGTTAAAGAGGACTGCAACTGGGTCGACAAGCACGTGGTGGTGCCCTCGCCTAAGGAATCAACCACGACCCATGTGGAAGGGTTTCTAAGTGTTTATACTTATCTTGTCACATTGGGTCCTTTGGATCCGGTTGTTATAGACTTCTGCAAAAAGTACGAAGTGACCTTCGGTCAGATTCACCCCTCTTTCTGAAGGATAGTGATATTGTTGCGCTTCTTCATGAGCCAATTCGATGGGCTTCCCTTCACCCTCGACCACCTCATACACCTATACATGCCCCGACTCTATCAGGGAGGACTAATAAAGCTTCAACGTCGGGCCACCATGGAACCTTTCTCGAGCATAGATAAGTACAAAGACTGGGGCTGGATGGGCCGATTTTTCCGAGTGAAGACCTCGGACCTGATCCCAGCCGAGAGTATGTCATTTCCTGAGAAATGGAATATGAAATGTAAGTATGATTTCGTCCTTAATTTCTGTCTATTGTCTTCGTTTTTTCACCCTTTCTTATCAGTATTTTACTTGATGCAGCCATTGCCTGGATGTCGGGCGAGGTTCCCCAACTCGAGAACTGGGTTAGGAGCCTAATATTAAAGTTGACACATGATGTGTGTGCATGGCATGATTTGGCGAAGGGTCGATGGGAGGCTCGTAACCATGGTAAATTTTCCTCTATGACTCAACAATTTTGACCATTGTTCGAATTTTTTCTCGATCTTACTCATCTTTCTTTTGCAGGTCTCGAGAAGGATGTGGAAATGAGGCTCTCATCTGGTGATGAAGAAATCCTTCCCCAACCATTCGCTCTGAAGCAAAACAAAGAGAGAAAGAAGAGAAGGGCCCCGAGTTCCACGAAGTTGGATGAAAAGAAGCCCAAAAAGAGGCAGGCCCGTAAACCCAAGGGGATCATCATCCCTTTAACTTTGGAGTCAGTTTAACGGCTAAGGGATGAGGTCTAAGAAGATGAAGAAGAAGAAGAAGACTCTGGGCTGGTGACCTGTGTGCGAGCAGGCACCGAGGTTCGAGGAACTACTGAGCCGGTAGGAGCTAAAATTGCTCTGCCTCGACTTGATGAGGTTGAGGGGGAAGCCTCGGCCGAAGTCCCTAAGCCAAAAAGAGCTAAAGATTTTTCACCTCGAGGTGAGAAGGGTATCGAGGAGGCAATCGATGTTGGGGCAGAAACCATGTTCGAGGCCCCTCGAGATGAAGGCGGCACCCCAAAAGATTTACTTGGGGCAATAGAGATTGGGGATTCCCCCTCCTTTCCTTCGTTCTCTGATTCGATGATCAAGGACGCTCAGGCGATGGAGACTTGCCACGGTGAAGGGGTCCGTGGAGTAGAAGACCCTTTCTGTGGCTATTTTGTTAGACTGGAAGTCGTCACCGATCTGGGTGACTTGGAGGTACCGAGGAAGTGCCCAAGTGAGGCTTCCTCGGGCTTT